TATCTAAGCGGTTCCATTCGGTGAAATCTATTCCTCCGAAGTGTTGCTTGGGTTTTTCTCGGGTTCTCAAAGGAGCGCTTGATAAGGTGATTTCCAAGCCAGATGACGTCTCTTGTTGGGTTCAACTACTTGTGTTGCCTCTTTGTGTTCTTAAAACCTTTACCCCGAGGAGTAGTCGTGAGTGTTCTTCGGGTGTCAGGCGGCAGCGGCAGGAAGAGAGTATCACCGTTGCTATTCGTTCTTGGTGTGAGCCTAGTGAATCTATGCATCTTGTGCGGGATACGTTGGCAGATGTGTCTCCTCCTTTGTTGGAAGCTGATGATGAGCATGATTTGTCTAAATGAAATATTAAGCAGTGTAAGAGAAAGATTTGTGACGGACATTACACTACTACGGTTAGGGTTCTTTCATCTTCTGGTCTTGCCCCTTACAATGATGCTTCTCTTGCTGATTTACAAGCTAAGCACCCTTCCTTTCCGGCTCCTATCTTACCGGATATCCCCGTTGATCAGCCCCTCATTGCTACTTCTGTTGTTGTTTTGGATCAGATTAAGGGTTTTCCGCGTGGTACGTCATGCGGAAGAGACGGCTTGCGTGCTCAGCACCTTCTTGATTGCTTGAGTGGTGTTGCGGTTGCTATTTCAGATGAGTTGGTGGGCTCTATTACCCAGGTGGTTAATCTCTTTCTCGCAGGAAAATGTCCTGCTGAGTTGGGGGAGTATATTGCTAGTGCTCCTCTCACGCCACCTGTTAAGCCCGGTGGTGGTATTCGTCCTATTGTTGTGGGTACTGTTTGGCGGCGTCTGGTTTCAAAGGTTGGGGCTGCTTTAGTTGGTCCGCGTATGGGGAACTATTTAGGAGGTCTTCAATTTGGTGTTGGGGTGCCGGCGGGTGGCGAGGCTATTCTTCATGCTGTTAATCGTTTGGTTGAGGCTCGAGGTGGTGATGTTGGCCTCTCTATGTCGTTGGTGGATTTCTGGAATGCCTTTAATTTGGTTGATCGTACGGCTTTACTGCGTGAGGTTCGTCTCTGTTGTCCAGCTCTTTCGCGTTGGGTTGAATTCTGTTACTCTACTCCAGCCAGGCTCTATTTAGGGGAGCATACCTTAAGGTCATGTCAAGGTGTGGAGCAGGGTGATCCACATGGCCCTTTTCTTTTTGCTTTGGTGCTCCATCCGTTGGTTTGTCGAATTAGGGATTCTTTTAACTTATGTTTGCAGGCTTGGTATTTGAATGATGGCACTATTATTGGTGACACCTTGGTGGTAGGGAAGGTTATGGAGTTGATTTTGGTGGAGGGACCTCGTCTCGGCCTTCATGTTAACGTTGAGAAAACAGAAGTTTTCTAGCCCTCGGAGGACCCTCGTAGCCGTCTGGCCGGTGTCTTTCCTCCAGATATTGCTCGTTTTGCTCATGGTGTTAAGTTGATTGGGGGTCCTGTTAGTGCTGATGCTTCTTTCTATGGTGAGCTTGTTTCGCAGAGAGTGTCGAAGACCATTGTGCTCATGGATGCTGTTGCTAAGCTTGAGGATCCCTAATGTGAGTTGTTACTTCTTTGTGCGTGTACTGGAGTTTCAAAACTCTATTTTTCTATGCTCACTTGTCCTCCTCGTCTTTTTGAAGCGGCCCAAATTTCTTTTGATGTGGCCCTTCGAGGTTCTGTGGAGTGCATTGTAACTGATTCGGGGCCAAGTTTTTGTGATTGGCAATGGCGACTTGCCACCTTACCTTTTTCTTATGGAGGATTGGATGTCTATTCAACGGGTGATGTTCGACACTATGCTTTCCTTGCGTCGTGTTTGCAGTCTTCTGGTCTTCAAGCTTCGCTTCTTCGTAATTCTGGTATTGTTGGTCCAGGTCTGGCCTTCGACAACGCTCTTAGTCTTTTTGATAGGATTATGGAGACTGACCTTTTGCGTAACCCTAGTAAGATCGCTGCCCCCAAACTCATGAAAAAATTGGCAGATATATATTTCACGTAGGTCACTGCATCTACAGAATTCACTTTCTCCTTATCTCCGCGTTAGGTTGCCTTATGGAAGTCCCAGCAGGGGGATCACACTCCTTCCTGGTTGCGAGCGGCCCCGATATCAGGTCTGGGTCAGACCATGAATGGTAAGACTTACCGTTGTGTTCTTTGCTTACGGTTGGGTGTTTCCTTGTTCTCCGTATCAGCACCTTGTTCTGCTTGCTCAAGGGTTTTTGATGGGGATATTTATGGGGATCATGAAGTGTCTTGTGCTGGGATGGTGGGTATTAAACATCGGCACAACGTTGTTCGTGATACCCTTGTTGATATTTGTTTCCGCTTTGGGATTTCTGCAAGGAAGGAGGTCAACGTTGGGTTGACTGGAGGGAACGACGGGGCTCTTCGGCCAGCAGATGTGTTACTTTACTCATGGGATAGAGGCCTAGATGTATGTGTTGACTTGACGGGGTCTTCTCCATTGACTCAATCTGGGTTGTCTGACTTCGTTCCTGGTCGTGTTGTGTCGGGTGCGGCTCAGCGGAAGCGAGACAAGTATGGGGCGCATTGCAGGGCTATTGGCTATGGTTTTCTTCCTTTCTCCTTTTCTTCATTGGGGGAATTAGAGAAGGATGTTGTTGCATTGCTGAGGCGGGTTCAGGCGTTCGCTAGGACTCAGGATATTGGTGCTCGTGCGGCTGCTCACATCTTTAACAGGATTGGGTTCGCTATAGCTAGAGGGGTGGGGGCCCAGATTGTATCTCGGCTCCCCACTAATTTCTTGTAAATCGTTTGACTTTTTAGGTTTTTGTTATTTAATAATAATAATAATAATAATAATGATAATAATAATAATAATAATAATAATAATAATAATAATAATAATAATAATAATAATGCCTCTGTTCCAAAATACTTATCACGTTTGACTTTTTTTCACTAGTAATACTCCCTCCATTTATGAAAGTTTGAATCACTTTGCATTTGCACGGTCTCGATCCAATGTGCATCTTTGATCATTATTACCTTCAACTATTCATAAGTGAAATTTTAAAAAGTTGAGATTTGAAAAATTCATTCTATATCAAATCTTATAAGATCTCAAATGCTAATTTTTTAAATCTTTTGTCCAAATTATAAAATGCGGTCAAATTATTTTATTTTCATCATATGAATAGTAAGTGAATCAAACATTTAGATTTTGAGGTAGAATTGACTTTGACAATCAATTTTTAATAACATAAAAACACATATTTTATTGTGAAATAAATTTTTAAATAGGCATTCACATAAGTTTCATATATTAATATTTTTTATTAATATTTAATCATATATATATCTAATTCAAATTAGTTCATTGTCGCGTGTACTGAATTTGACTGTGTCAATTATTTAGTACCGAAAGGAGCAACAACAACAACAATAACATAGGCCTTATATCATAATCAAATAATCAAGGTATGACGACTAAGTCTTTAGCACATACCGGGTATGTATATGCAAGAAAAAACTGGGCAATTTATTATATAAAGTGAACTTTATATAAGGCAGTTTAAATACTATTAAAGTGAATAGATAGTACCATTATATTAGATAGATTAATGGTATTATAATACCTTATGATGGTATAAATATATCATGACATTTTTCGGATTTTCTAGTAGTATAGATTGAGTTTATGGATTAGATGAATCTGAATGGTACAAATGTGATATCTAATAGTAACATTGAGACTCCAACAATTATAAATAAATGTTTTTAATGGTACACAAAATATACTATTGAAATTTAAAGCTTTACAAACAAATTAAGCATACTCTGATATGTATGCTTCTTATACCTACCAGGTATATATCCAATGACCCATGTACTTCAATTGTCATTGATTCCCAAGTTTTCTATATTATTTATTCAATTTTAAATTGGTCCGATCAACTTTTAGTAACAATTTTAGGGTAATGATTTATGTTGCCCTTTAAGGTACATATAAAAAAGAAATAGAATTCCTAAAATTAAGTAAAGTTAGAAATTTATGACAAAATCTATCACTTGCAAATAAATGCGATAAATGTTCTATCTATCTATAATATTTCCTTTTTTGGCTTCTTATACTACGTAGCCTTATTATGTTTATTGTTAATGCTTTCAATACAGTGATTGGTAAGGTATTATGTTTAACATAAGTTATCATGATTAAAAGGTGATACGTTTCGTGTTGTTTTTTTTTCAAATTAAACCTACCAAAAGTAAAAACACAAAATGAAACTTAGGGCGTGTTTGGCAGTATCTTTTTAGTAACTATTAGGTAGTTTTTAGTGGTCAAACCACAACTTAAAATATGAATGTTTGGCAATTTAGTGATTGGAGTAATGTTTAGTGATAGAGATAGCTTTTATCAAAAGTTAGAAATATTAGCTTTTATTTTGAAGATTAGAGGTAAATGTTGAAAGTTAATTAGTAGTTTGACGAAAAACAAATATCGATTTTTATATGTAACGGCTGGTCAACCGCTATTTTACCAACACTCATGCTTTATTTATCTATATTCATAGTTAACAACTTTTTGACTACTAACACTTACTTTTACTACTAACAGTTACTGCCATTGATAATAACTCCCTTTAAAACTATGTTTTGCTAGACACGCCTTAGTTAGAATATCAACCACGGACCACCATACCAAACGGTTACTTCCAAAAGTTATTTTACAAGTAATGGAAGCCTTTTAATAAAGTTTTAAGTAAGGGAAAAAAAAAATACCAATATCACCTTAGTAGCAGTCTTGCAGGCCAGAAGCGGTTACTATTTATTTAGTAATACCACTCGAGTGTAACCAAACAACCTGTTTGGTAGAAAACTATACGAAGTATGGTTTTAGACTGATTTTACGATGACATACTACGTATAATTTATATATATAAAAAATATAAAAAATAAAAATGTCAATATCCATAATAATGCAATTCCTTGATGTAGATGCACAAAACATAATGCGAACTTGCATACAGAGTATGAAGGAGAGAATAGTACGTACACGAAGGCAGAAGCGTAGCTGGATTTAGCGCTGACGGGAACGTTAAAGGCTGGAAGATCCGGCGAAATTTTAATAGGAACAATCTTAGTTTGCTTGTTCACCCCTAACAAAATGGCTGCTATAAGTGTTAGTATCAAAGCCAAGACCCGTAGTATCAACTCAGGAACCCTTATACCGTGACCTTTTTCCTTGTTTCTTTGAATACCATCTAAACCTTCAATATTATTATTTGCCATTTCTAATACTTTGATTTAGTCAAAAAAATAATTATATGTATAGATGCAAGTAATACAATGTCTTTTATCGTATGCACTTATTTATATAAGGAAAGATCTTTGGAAATTAATAATGCAGTGGACAAGATATGAAATAATGAAGCTTGTTTGGCATTATTAGGCGGTTGGAAATTGTGAAAAACTGTTCATTAATGTAAGCATTGAATTGAATAGACATGAGTCACAAGTGATGGCATATTACATAAACGTGTAGCTACTTTAGCTACACACCATTTGAGAAATTGGTTGGATGTATGGAAGGGTTGAATTTTGAAACTAATCATTGCGGCATTTTGCATTGTGACTGTTTGGTTCACATAGGATACATTATTATGCGACTAATTATTTGAAGTTAGTTTCCTTTTTAATTTTCTAAAATACTTATTCAAAAAAAAAAAAAAAAAAGGTTCTAGAATAAATTATCCTATCTTAAAAAAATCCAACAATTTTCTTAAAATATAAAATAAAATAATGCAAAATTAATGCTTAAGTAATTTACAGGGATATTGCATCGTTGATTTTTGAAGAAATCCACCATCTTTTATACACAACATATACAAAATATACCCTTTTTAACATCAACTAAGTTCTATATTTATATGAGATTGTGAGGAGAGTGGGGGGATATCTCAAGTGGTTAGAGCTTCCATTTCGATTTTAGAAGATCCTATGATCGATTTTTACTACCCTGCCTTTGTGACTCTTTAAACACCAAAAAAAATTAGTTTGTGAGATATTAAGTTTAACTTTTGTGGTATATCTTAACTTTTACCTACTATATCTTAATTTCCGCAATTATTCCTTAAGTCACTCTCAGAGCCCATACCAAACCTATTAACAATAAGTATAGCCCAATCATAAATATGTTAGCTAGGAGGGCATGCATGATTTGGCAGAATTGGGCATCACTACATTCAATGACACAAAATTAGGGTGTATTACATTCATTGACACAACCTTATCTCTATAATTAAATTGACAATAATTTGCTTACTAAAGACCATATAAGTGACATTTCGGTGACCAGAGGTCGTTTTAGTCGTCAAAATTCACTACAAAAATATTAAACTTTAGATTCAAAAAGCTATTTCTTAAAAATTAATTTATAATAATTAGTAAAGAGCTAATTTTTTTAAAATCCATGTCTTAAATTTCGGTGACTAAAATCCACTTTTGTCACAGGAATGTCATTGATGGTATTTAATAACTAAGTTTGTGTCAATTTAATTATAGAGATAAGGTTGTATGCCAATGAATGTAGTACGCGTTAAATTGGTGTTACGGAGTGTAATATCGCCTATAATTCTATTTAACTATTTTTACTTTCACTTTCTTGTCTTGGATGCTCTTCCTTCACGCATGGGATGGAGGCAAATTTTTCATTTGCCTAATAAGATGTGTCAACAGCTATCTCTTGCACTTCAACACCCAGAGTTGTATGCCGATAAGGTAAAAAAGGCTGGAAAACCTGTGGAGGATGCCACAAAATGTGTGTCGTGCAACGTGGCCTTAGCTTTCACAGATGATGACTTGTTGATGAGGTCAAAACCCCACAATCGACCCTTGTTTATGTTGGGGTAAATCCGTGAACAAAAAGTGAGTCGAATTATAGTTGATGGTGGATCCGTTGTCATCATCATGCCAAAATCCATTATGACAGAATAAGGAATCAAGATAGATGAATTATCTAACATTCGCATAGTGATCCAAGGATTTAACCTTGACAATCAGCGTGCAATAGGCATAATACGCCTGGAGCTCACAATGGGAAAGTTAACATCATCAACTCTCTTTCATGTGATTGACACAAAGACATCATACAAAATGTTGCTAAGACGCCCTTGGTTGCATGAGAATGGTGTTGTCGCATTGACCCTCCATCAATGTCTCAAGTACTATCGTAGGGGTGAAAAGAAGATAAATGGGGATGTCAAACCCTTTAGCAAAGCAAATTCTTACTTTGTCGACGCTAGGTTTTCTTAAGAGGAAGAGGCGTCAAGTGAGATACTGCCTTCATAATTCCTTTCAACCAAAAAAAGAGAAGCTAAGGAGAGCATTGCTTTAGCCTTAAATGGAAAAAAGACATCTCCAGTTGAGGAGAAACCACAACAAAAGGAAGAAAGGGACAAAAAAGGGTGACTCTCAACCCGTCATAAAAGAAACGCCAAAGTTCTCGACTCCTATTTTGCGCTACATCCCTAAGTCACGTCGCATGGAGGGAGAATCACCTTTTGATTGTCGAGAGGTTAACCTTGATGCCAAGGTAGCAAAGCCAATTGATGACACTACACTCCAAAGCTTAAAGAGTAAAACAACTGTGGCATTGGGTAAAGGAACTCAAAGTCAAATTTCTAAGTTATCAACATAACCATCTAAGGAAAAGAAGTCTTAACAAAGTAAAGTTCAGCCAAAATGCATACGAGCTATTGGCAAAGTCGAGATATGACTTTGAAAACCCAACACCGATGGGTAAGATCATTGACGTTAAACCCCGCAGACTTAACAACACTCAGAAGAAAATGCTCGACTACGGGACTCCTTATCAAGAATCCAAGGTAGACCAAGGGTTTCAGTGCCCCAAACCAATCAAAATTGGTTTGTGGCGTAAAGTGGACACCTTTTCCTCATAGTACATTACTGCCGAGGAACTCAAGGAAGGTGAAGGTGAGAATGATGTTCCCCTTCCCAAAACATCTGTCTTCGATAAACTTCAACCAACTTTTACAAAGGATCAAATATCAGTGTTTAATCGGCTATAAGAGCGTGACCTGGTGAAAGAAACTTCAAGCTCTAAACCCTTAAGGCGAAAAGTAACTATGTTTACCCACGTAGGCATGACAAATGCCTTTAGCGAAAAACAAAGGCAGTCAACTTTTAGTCGCATAAAGAAAAAGGAAGACAATGTCATCAAAAACGACAAACTAAAGAGCATTGTTCCCTCTCGCATGAAGCAAACTCAAGACATAGACATCACTGAGCAACAACCATTAAAGGCAAGAGTTTGAATTGTGGTTTTCAGTAACTAAAATGAGTCGTCGGATCATGATAAAGAGGAACACAAAGAGGTTGTTGCCACGTATCATGTGACGGCTGAAGAGGTGCCAAATCTCGATAAAGAGATAGAGACTAATGAAGCTCCCAAGACACTTGAAGACGGGGGCAAGCCACATTGGATGAGTTACAAGACTTAAATCTTGGTACTCATGAAGACCCACGCCCTGTATACATCAGTGCTCTTCTCAGTCAACTGGAAGAACAAGAGTACTTCAAATTACTCTACAAGTATAAAGATGTCTTTGCATGGAGTTACAAAGAAATTCCAGGCCTCAACCCAAAGGTCGACATCCATCGATTGGCAATCAAAAAGGGTGTTAGCCCAAAGAAGCAATCACAAAGGTGTAGACACCTAAAAATGTCTCCCCAAAATCAAACCCGATGATGAACAACCTTTCACCGCTCGGGAGTGCTTAAAATCCATATTCAGTCAAACATATTCAATCTACAAATCAATCCAAGCATTTATTCAAACTCAGTCCAACTCACATTTCTTCCCAAACCCTTTTTAATTCATTTTGTTTTATTTATTAATTAAGCCCGATTAGCAAATAATAAAATCCTAAGCCTGAAATAACTCCGGAATAGCTGAAACGACGCCTAACTATCACGTACTTAATGCTTATGAAATAGGGTGAAAATGAATTTAGACGAAAATTTGCAAAAATGCCGCGCAACGCCAATATCTGCCGTGTCATGGGAAACTTCGGCGTTTCACGGCAATCCCTGACGTGACGCGACAATTTCTAGGGTTCCCTCCGCGGCGCATTTCATTTTTAGGGTTTCTTGCATCACCCGATTTATTTCTTCTATAAAAACGAGGCTGATTTCTCAGTTTTGGGGACCAAATCATTCTCTCTTCTCTCTCTTATGCTCTAGCCTTCCCTATTCTCTCATAATACATTCCTTAAACACTCCCTGGAGTCCGTACTTTACCCAAGGTTCCACAGTTAAACCAAGGTGTGAAAGGTAGAACTGTTTGAGGGTTTAGCCTCAAATCAACTCTAGTTTAGTTTAATTTTCATTATTGTTTATTATTTTCCTTGAAGTTACTAACGCGTTTATTGTTTTATAGTTGCAATCAAACACACTCAAAGGAAGGAATCATGTTCCCTTTGTTCCTTTTATATTTCTAACGATTTTTATTATGTTTTTCATGTACAAATCGTTATTATTATTGTTGAATTGCTTTCAATGTTAATATTATTTTTATTGATCACCATATTGCATGTTTAAAGGGAATATGTAATTGAATATCACGACTAATAAGATATTTTGGACGACCGGTTTAGGTTCCTTTTTAATCTTGTTGTTTCATCAAGTGATCTCGATATTTTAGATTTATGTGTTGCATTAACGTTCAACCAATTTAGCCTAATAATAGTTTGGAGCAAATTGAATCATTATTTGCATGCCTTTGAGATCGCAGGAATACATTTCACAATAAGAATTGAGTAGAGGCCAATACGAGCGAACGTGACTCCATGACTTACTTCGTACCATCATCCTTGATCCTCCTTTCGTGGTTCCGAACTATATGGAGTTAGTAATATCATGGACTATGAATGGGGTGTAACTTTCACGGGTCAATCGTTGTTGCCTTTCGTTGTCCCTTATCGTGGTTGCCTTATAATGATCCGTGAACGGTTTACAAGTTCCTTAAAAACTTGTTGGCGGCTCCCTACTTTATTCGTCCCTAATCATTGTCACTAATCGTATGTCAATTCCCACTTCCTATGAGTGCCAAGCATATTCACAACATGCTTATGTAGGCGCGCTTCGAATGACGCCTACAATTTGGCGACTCCACTTGGGAGGATTCTTTGTTAATTATCGATTTGAGTGATCAATATTTAATTGAGATGAGTGGATGAGACTTGAAAGATTCTTAAATCGTATTCCTATGATTAATTTGGCATTTTTGCATATGCATTGATGTTTTACCGCCGTA